CCCTACTGAACAAGGGAATTTGTCCCACAGTCTCAGCGCAGAGAAGAGAATAAGGTCATCAGCCCCCGTGATGATCCTTCCCACAGTCCTAGAAATATCAGATGCCAATCTTAGCCAAGGCCCTGATGGCCACCTTCCAAGGGTGGGTAAGGATTCCGGGCTCCAACAGTGTCCATTAAGCTTGTCCTGGACTTTCCATTCAGCATTTCCCTGAAAAACAAACAAAAGATCATTTCACAGATGGATAGTTATATGCTGTGCAAGGCATCTAAGTTATCCTGCTGGTAAGATTCAGACTTTATTTTGAAATGAATGCAGATTTATTTTACAAGCTTCCAAGCAGTCCCATCAATATCTGGATAGAACACAATATGGCATAGTTTAGGGGGATTGGGGGTTCGCTCATACAGCTGTGAATATGTACATAACCTCTGTGTATAGGGATGCTTGGGACTAATGCTTCTTAATAGTGATAGATTCAGGGATTCTGCAAACTTGTATGGGAAAAAAATCAGAGGCCTTTTTCAATATAATTGATTTCCATTGTCATCCTATGTATTTTATTTTATTAATTTAAAACATTATTCTGAGAAAGGGTCCATAAATTTTATCAGACTGCCAAAGGAATCCATGACATAAAATGGTGAACTCTCCTCAATATCATCCTTTCCTTCCTTCTGAAGCTTGACTTCTCACAGATGCTTGAAATCACTTATTTGTCATATAAATGTCACATAAATGACTAGGAACACTGGGAAGAATTGATAAGTTGTTGGCATAGTCTAGCAGCCTCCTGAGGAGGCTCTTGGCCCCCTTCCTGTATTTCATATAATGTTAGAAATATACTGAAAAGCCCTTGGAGGGGCAGCCTGAAATAACAGGGATAAACCAGGGGCCTCAGAAAAGTCTCTTTCCAAAGTGACCCAATTTCACTTTTGCCCATGGCTCAGTGGCTGCCCCGTGGGCATCCTTCTCCCTGACTACAATTCACGACCTCTTACCAAGTCCTTTCCACCAGAGGAACACCAGCCTCTGAGGTTCATATTCAGGTACGGGAGATTGGGAATGAGGAGGAGAAAAGGAAGGAATGTGTCCTAGGGTGTGCCTAAGGTCACTCACCTCTTCAGTGGCAGAGTTTACAAAGACAATGAAAATATTAGTGAGATCTAGAAGCTGGTGGTAGGAAGGCTCTGGTCTTGTGATTTCCTTGATGCAAGTGTTTTCCATGTGATAACTCCCCACCCTTGATATAGTCAGCAACTTCTATAATATAATCTTAGGAAATTACTAGAGGCACCAAGAGATTAAGTGACTTTCCCTTCGTTCAATAAACTCATAAATTTAAAGCTGGAAGAACGGTAGTTGGACATCTTGTCCAACTCCTGCCCACCATGTTAACATGTAATGGGAGTGTGGCACATGCACAGAGCACTTCCACATTTGCCTTGGAGAGGCCTTAGTGTATGAGTGCACATTCTGTAACTGGCTCCAATAAGCCACTTTGCTCACACACTTAGCTCTAGATTTATGATCCCAACTCAGGTGACTGATGATGAGGGCCTGAAACAGGTTGGTGGAGAGAATCAGATAGATGGAAGAATAGATAGGGATATTTGGAAAAGGACTGGGATTGGGGAAAAGAAGATGAGCCTATATTGGACACATAGAGTTTAAGATGCTGGTAAGATATGCAGATAGAAAAGTACCATGAGCAGGTGGTGATGTGGGTCTGGAGTTCAGGCAAGATTAAGGACTGCAATCCCTAATAGGTTTTTCCTCTTACTTTTTCAAGGAGAGATCCTACTGAAGTTCCTGGCAGGTGGAGCTAAATGCGCTCGTTCCTACAGTCCCTCCTGCAGATCTTCATAGCTACTGGTGGGCAGCACCACTCTCAGACAAGGTCAAATACTCCTGGAGAGACAAATCTTTTTCTTTTGTTAAGTGTAGTCTCTGCCACCAGAGCTTTCCCTGTCAGAGGGCACAGTGCTAATAATACAATGCCAGACTGAGACTTTGTCACATTAAGGTGTCCTACAAAGATGCTAGATCTGAACCTGGAGTTGGTGACTAATTCTTAAACCTGCTTCCTAGATAAACTTTTATGAGACCAGTAGTTGTCTGGGGAAGAAGGGTGAAATATCCTAGCATGGATTCCATTTATTTGTATGTCTGTCATACCCTTCCCTCCCCATTAGATTATATTTCTTGAGAGCAGAAACTATGACATCTTTTGTCTTTGCATCCCTAGCACCTAGAGCAATGTCTTGCACATAATGTACACTTAATAAATGTTTGTTGAATTGAGTTGGGTTGACCGTACTGATTCCAAAATAAGTCCTAGAATTGCTTTCCTTGCCTTGCTTTCTCTCTTTCTTACTACCATCTTCCCTCCCTCTGTTCTGTCCAATCCTTTCCCATCTACTTTTTTTCCAGTTCTTCAGATAATCTGTTATTTGTAGTTTGCATTTCTCCTAAGCAGCAATTGTTTCTATTCTGGTCAGAAACTCTCTTCCCATCCCAGAATGATTCTTTTATGAAGGCAAACTATGTCATCTTTTGCCACAGTTTTTACCTAGCCTTTAACTGCTGAATGGGCATTGCCTCAGACAAACTGAGACCTTAGTTTAAAAAGGCCAAGGTGTCCCACTGCATCAGGGGCCATCTCCAGTTATCTTGACCTATGTCTTACCACTAGATTCCAATGACTCTAGAGGAGTGAGGCTGATGACTTTGCACAGCTCTGCCTCACTTAAATCCAATTCACTTGCAAGTCAAAACATCACCCTCCTGATGTCACTGGTCCTCTTGGAGAGCAAAGGACAAAAACCAACAAATTAAATACCAAAGATTTTACTTAATCAAGGCTTGACTAGTTAGATCCCATAGCCCAGGTATACTTTGGAGACTTCTCACTTACTTAATTCATTACCACAACCCAAGTAGAACCTGGGAACTTCAGCATCTGATCCTCCTTCAAGGGCAGTCACCAAGTTCCCTTACAAGAACCCAAGCTCACAAACCTTCAGAATATGGAGTGATTTAATTTACAATGTAAAGGACACAGAAAGGGCTCACTTCATAGCCTACAAAAATCAAGAAGTCTTCTTTCCTCCTGCCAATTGTTGTCTCCCCTCCCTATCCTTCTAGACTTGTACAGCACTCACAGTGCTGGCCTGGATAGGGCTCAAAGGCAAAGGAGGTTCAATCCTCCATGTCTGTGAAACATTGGTCCTCTGCTATTTCAACTCTGCCGCATTACTAACTAATTCTGTTTCAGGTCTTAGCTTTTCACTCTCTGTATTTTATTTTATTTAGTTATCTTATCTGTATTTATTATTATTATTGTTTACTCTCTGTATGTTGGATCCAGTCTTCTTTTTACCCTCAACTACTTTTCAAAAATAATCACTTCAAACACAGGAAAAGGCCACCCAGGAAGAGGACATACCCTGGAGGAAGAAGGAGAGACCTTTTTTAAGTCCCCAGCATATTTTATTATCAATAATAATTCTCTACCTAATTCTTTCTCAGATCTCTTTCAAAGGACTAAACAACACACTTTCAGGTCTTTGACTTAGAATATATGTTCCTTGCCAACAGGGATTATTTTATTCTTTGAATTTGTATTCTCAGTGCCTAGAGTAGTGCCTGGCATATAGTAGATGCTTAACAAATACTTATTGGCTGACTGGCTGACTGGACTGTTCATCTATTGCTGGTAGCCTCTGTGGATTCTGGGCAATACAGGTCTGAAAGCACCTCAGGAAACTGTAGCGAAATGGGTATTTGGACAAAAGCTTTATGACCTAGATATGGTGTCCATGTCTTTCTAACTCCAAGCCCACCCTAGCCACTTTAGAATCACATTTTGCGGGGGATGGGAGAGGTGTACCCATCAGAAAGACTGATAAAATATCAGCCCTGATGAAAGAACAAAGAAACATTGAGACAAGACACACTGCCTTCCTGTTTTTTTTTCTTTTGCTCTATCACTGCTATTATTTCTCTGGGATGCTAGACTTCCAGGTCTTGAAGGGATGGATCTATAAGGAGTTTACCTCTTTTTGTGAAAAGGGAAGGAACAGGATCAACTAATCAACAAACACTTATCAAGTGCCTACTATGTGCCAGGCACTGTGCTAAATGCAGATGATACAAAAGACAGTCCCTGCCCTCACTGAGCTCACAAGAGCAAAAATTTAGAGTTGGAAACTAACCTTAAAAAATGAGGAAACTGGGGCAGCTAGGTGGCACAGTGGATAGAGCACCAGCCCTGGATTCAGGAGGATCTGAGTTCAAATCCAGCCTCAGACACATAACACTTACTAGCTGTGTGACCCTGGGCAAGTCACTTAACCCCATTGCCTAGCCAAAAAACAAAAACGAGGAAACTGAGAACGAGAGTGACTTGCTTCAGACCACACTGGTATCAAGTGTCACAGCCAGAATTTTAATCCAGATCCTTTGACTAAAATCTGTCATGCTTTCCACTACATCATGCAGCCAGGTTCTGGGGTGACCTATAGACTCCTTTTATCTAAGCCTCACCAGCATGGGGGAGAAGACATTCTTGGGGCCATCAAGTCCAGGGCCACAATAGGCTCCCCATTGACAATAGCACCTAGCTGATCATTGGAACTGTCAGAGCAAATTCCCAGATGAACTCTCGGTCTCTGGCAGCACAACACACACAGGACAGGGATATTTATGCTAGAATGAACAGTGCTAAGTAGTATGGAAGATCGAGAGGGGAAAGGGAAAAACTGGAGAAAACCTATGAGGCAGCAAGGTGGAATGGCCAGAGGGCTTCACTTGGAGTCAGCAAGACCTGGATTTAAATTCCATCTCTGACACTTGCTCTGTGACTTTGAGTTTCAGTGACCTCATCTGTAAAACTTGGTGGGGAGAGGTTGGCATCATCCCTAATCTCACATTTCAAGTCAGGAGCTAAAGGCGTCTACCTCTGGTAGTCCTACCACTGGCCCCTCCCTCCAGTCTTTAGCTCAGTCTGAGGATTTATAAAGAAGAGAGTCGAGCCTCGGAGGCATCGAGTGGAGTTTGCTGCCCCAGGTCTGAGCGACTCCAGGCTCCCCGAGGGCAGTGTGCCCTGCAATAGAGTGCCTGTAAGTACGCGCCCAGGAGCCATGCAGAAGCCCAGGCAATGGGCACCCGCTTCTGCCTTGGCCCCAGGGTCCTAGTGGGAGAAGAACAGTCCCATTTCTCTAAGCCCCACTCCCTCCGCCATCGCCCTCCAGCCCCCCACAGCAGCTTGTCCTCGTGGGAAACCTTTGCTGAGCCGTGATGGTGGGGCTGAAACCCTCTGACGTGCCACCCACCCCAGGCGTCAAGTTCCTCGGAGCTGGAGCCGCCGCCTGCATCGCGGATCTGGTCACCTTTCCGCTGGACACCGCCAAAGTTCGGCTACAGGTATGAAAGTGAGAGGGCAGCAGGAGCCGGGAGGAGGAATAGTAGACTGAAGAAAAGAATAGGAGCTTTAAGTTCTTCTCCTGTGGCTCTGTCCAGCCTCGTCCCTCACCCCCATCCCCATACAGGACTCTTGCAAATAAGATAACGTCTGTTTAAACGTTGGCTATTACTGCTAGGCTCAGCTTTATTTCGTGCAAAACTTGCAGGAAGCCCTGTATTTTCCACATATGGGGGGAAGGAGGAAGGGAGAGAGAGAGAGAGAGAGAGAGAGAGAGAGAGAGTGTGTGTGTGTGTGTGAGAGAGAGACAGAGAGAGAGAGAGACAGAGAGAGATTGTCCCGAAAGTTTTAACGCAGTTTTTACATTTTAAATTTAAGTTTAAAACTTAAATCTCAAAATCTCAAAAAATGCAAGTTTAAAACTTGAGTTTTAAACCTAGTTAAGGTTTAAGTTTTAAACCTGCATCAAGACTTTTGGAACACCTGTGTGTGTGACTGTAAACATCACTATAAATATATATATGCAAATATTTTTCTATAAATATATATTTATTCCCATATTGATTTATTATCATATATATGTAAAACTTGTGAGCCCTGGCTCTTGAGTCAGAGGACCATGCTTCTATCTATGTAGTAAGATCAAAATGTAGTAAAACCAAGCAAGATCAATTGGTCTTAGGCAAGATCTCTTCACCTCCCTGGGCCCAACTTTCCACATTTTCCAAATGAGGTGATTGGAATAGGGAGCCTCTGAGATCTCTTCCATCTCTAGGTCTATGGTCAAATGAATGAAAAAAATGAGTTGAAATTGAAACCCATTCCCAGATTAATTGGAAGATCATCAAGGTAACCAATGATTGCCTCGGTTGGTTTATCTCTTAAGAATAAAGGCTGCTGTTAGCTTGGCTCTGGCTCTGGCTCTCCCTAAGGTAAGATGCAAAAGAAAAAAAGAGCTAAGCAAAGAGAATTGAGGGTGGGAATGAGTGGGTCAAACAAATCATAGAGAATTGGGAGTGGGTAAGGAGGGAACACATAGCCTTAAAGCTAGAAGGAACTTTAGAGGTCATTTAGTTCAACCCCTACATTGTACAGATGAGGAAACTGAGGCAGTTGTGGGGGGGGTGGAGAAGGCCGCCAGGGATTGCCAAGCCACACAGATAGTCATGAGTAGACCTTCATGGGAGAGAACTCAAAGCAGAGTTTCCTTTTCCCTTTTCTTTCATTGCCGATGCAGTCCCGTGTCTCTGGATGCCCCTGAACTAGGATCTCATTCCCAGATTAAAAAGGCAATGTAAGGGGCAGTGAGGTGGTGCAGTGGATAGAGCACTGGTCCACCCACTAATCCTGAAGTCAGGAGGACCTGAGTTCAAATCTGGCCTCAGACCAAACACTTGACACTTACTAGCTGTGTGACCCTGGGCAAGTCACTTAACCCCGATTGTGACAGAAAGAGAGAGAGAGAGACAGAGAGAGAGACAGAGAGAGAGAGAGAGAGAGAGAGAGAGAGAGAGAGAGAGAGAGAGAGAGAGAGAGAGAGAGAAAGAAAGAAAGAAAGAAAGAAAGAAAGAAAGAAAGAAAGAAAGAAAGAAAGAAAGAAAGAAAGAAAGAAAGAAAGAAAGAAAGAAAAGCAATGTATCAGAGTAGTGAGAATGTTGGACCTGGGCTGAAAAGCCAGCTCTGACACTTATTAGCTGTGTGACCAGGAACAACACCCCTCAACTTTAAAATGAGAATAATACACCTCACAGAGTGTGAGAAAAGCACTTAAGACTCATGAGGCTTATCAAGATGTGAGGATCCCCAGTCACCTCTGGCACTTACTACCCTGAGTAACTTTGTACAAGTCACTTCCCTTCCCTGGGTCTCAGTTTCCTCATCTGTAAAATGAGATCAGTTGGACTGGCTGGTCTCTGAGATCCCTTCCAGGTCTTTATTTATGATCCTATTATCCCCTATGAACAGCTTCATCACCATCACCAAACAGGTGTATCTTAATGGCAAGAAAGAGGTGGGGTGAAGGGTAGTCAAGGAAACAGTACACAGAGGACGCCAGGAGGGACTTTTCAGTGTTCACTTTTGAGAAATGTACATATTTTTTACTGACAGAAAATTCTTCTTCATAGCACAGAGAATATTTGCTTTATGATAAGCAAAATCACTCGTGTTCAGAGTGAAGATTCAAAATGTCCTGGGAGATGGTAATGGGGAAAAGGAGAGGGGGGAGTTCTAAGCCAATGAGGTCCCCCTCCAAGAAGTCTGGAGACAAATAAAAGTGTCAGGAAGGGGTGGGGCCCCTGTTGGCCTCAAATGTCCCAATGCCCATCCAAGAAATAGGGGCAAAGGGAGAAAGACAATAATTCAAAACAGTAATAATATAGGAGATATCTAGGTGGCCCAGTGGCTAGAGTGCTGAGTCTGAAGTTAGGAAGACTCATTTTACTGAGTTCAAATCTGGACTCAGATACTTCATCCTGTTTGCCTCAGTTTCCTCATCAGTAAAATGAACTGGAGAAGAAAATGGCAAACCACTCCAGTGTCTTTGCCAAGAAAACCCAAAATGGGGTCATGAAGAGTCGGGCACAAACAACTGACTTAAAGTTCACTCTGACAAATGAGATAGTCTAGTGAAGCCTGCACTTCACTTTCCAAGGAAACTGTTAAGTGAACCAAGGAGATTTTGCCAAGTTTGCACTTTCCAAATAGTGTCACACTATTCCTGCTGACTTGCATAAAATTTTCTAAAAGTTTTATTAATGCTTTTTTTAAACAATCTTATTTAATTAATTTATTCTGAATAAATAAGACTTAACAAATCTTATTTAATTGTCATTATTTATTTTTTACATCACCTTCATTCCAAATATATCTTTCTATAATCCAATACTCAGTCAGCTGTCCCTAGTTAACAAAGATTATAAAGGAGCTAGGGTGGGGGAAGCAGTTCAGCAAAGCCATTTCTGACAGTATATGTGGTATCTTTCCCCTCCTGGCCCACCCACTAATCCTTGATCTCTGCAAAGAAGGGAGGGAGGTGAAGACTTTTGTTTTTGTACCACACAGTAATTTCTAGATACCCTCATGAGTCTGCCTTCCACTTCTCTTCTCTTCTCTTCTCATTCTCTACCCCTCCCGACTATTTCCAGTGAGACATCTTTTGGAACTAAAAGGGAAAAAAAGTTAAACTGACACATCCATAGTCTGATAGCATCTGCAACAGTGATATTGAACTCAAATAGAAACTGGTCCACCAAAATCATACGTAAGGATCCCTCCAGGCTGTAGAAAGACTTAGAAAACCACACATTAATACTACATACGTTTTATTGTATTTTTTATTTATTTATTTATTTGTTTGTTTGTTACATTTTAATCTGGTTTCTGCCCCACTCAGGAAAGTTGGGGGCTGCTTGGGATGAGGGAGTAGGGAGGGCAGCTGCTTGACACTTCTGATCTACATTTTACACACACACACACACACACACACACACACACACACACACACACAGAGTGTGTGTGTATTACTTCTCCAAGGTAAACAAGGAAAAGCTGTTCAGTCATTTCAGTTGTGTCCAAACCTTTGTAGCCCCATTTGAGATTTTCTTTGCAAAGATACTGGAGTGGTTTGCCATTTCCTTCTCCAGCTTATTTTACAGCTGAGGAAACTGAGGCAAACAGATGTTAAGTGATTTTCCCCGGATCATACAGCTAGTAAATGTCTGAGGTCAGATCTGAACTCAGGTCTTCTTGACTCCAGGCAGGGTGCTCTATCCACCGTGACACCTCCAAGGAAAGGAAGGAGGTGCATGCCTGTATCTCTTCAGGACTAAGATTCCAACTGCATTTTCTGCCTTTATAGATCCAAGGTGAAGCCCAGGCCACCGAAGCTGTCAAGCATAAAGGAGTCCTGGGGACCATTCTCACACTGGTGAAAACCAAAGGACCAAGAAGTCTGTACAGTGGGCTGCATGCTGGGCTGCAGAGGCAGATGAGCTTTGCCTCCATTAGAATCGGCCTCTATGACACTGCCAAACAGTTCTACAACAATGGGAGAGAAAGTAATGGGGTTAGAGCGAGGGTGGATTCTTGCGTTGTGTGTGTATGGGGGTATCTGTGTGAGTATGTGTCACAGTGTCACATTAATGAATAGCCTAATGATCTTAGATACTTCCACACGGTAGGGTGAAGGACACTTAACACGTTTGTCCTACATTTTGGATAATTATATCCAATAACATCATGAGGTGATGTCTTTATGTCTTGAGACAGATTTGCTCATCAGCCTCACTCTCTCTTCCAGAGTCATCAAAGTCCAGTGGCAAGACTTAACGTGTAAACAAATAGACAATGCTGGAACTGGAGTCAGGAAAAGACAGGTTCTCAAAGTCTACTTCCCACTCCTACTCACCCATTTGAACATATGCAAGTCACATTCTTGAATTTGGAGCCAGAGTACCTGATTCAAATCCCAGATCTCTTACTTACCGCCTGGGTCACTTTGGGCAAGTCTCTGCCACAGCTCTGGGTTTGTTTCCTCTTGGGAATAACTGGGGATTGGACTAGATGACCCAGGTCCCTTCCAGCTCTACTTCTAGGATACCAAACATAACACCAAACATGTTACACCAACTACCTTCACTCATTCTAGTTCATTTTATTAAGATGTAAGTAGGAAGAAAAGGCTAAAGATTTGCCAATTTGTACTCCAGACAAATAATCAAAAGGCAAAGGCTTGTTTAGGGGGAAAAGGAAATACTAAACCTGAAAAAAAATTACAATAAAATGTATTTTGGTTCAATCAGTTAATCATTTATTAAGCACTTACTTGGAGAAGGAAATGGCAAACCACTTCAGTATCTTTGCCAAGAAAACTCCATGGACACTATTAGAGTTCTATGGTCCACAGGGTGGAGAAGAGTCTCATAAGACTTAACAATTGAACAATAACAACAAAGCACCTACTATGTGCCAGGCACTGTGCTAAGCACTGGGAATCCAAAGAAAGGCAAAACAGTCCCTGCTCCCAAGGAACTCACTCTAATGGTAGAAACAATATGAGAAGAACTAAGTACAGAAAAGATATATACAGGATAAACTGGAGGTAATCAATAGAGGGAAAGAAGCAGTTTTAAGGGTCATTAGGAAAGGCATCTTGTAGAAAGTGAAATTTTATTTGGAACTTGAAGGAAGCCAGGGAGGCTAGAAGGCAGGGAGAATACCAGGCATGAAGGACAGCAGGTGAAAATACCAGGAGATGGAAGACGGAGCGCCACGAGCGAGGAGTAACAAGGAAGCTGCTAGTGTTACTGGATCCCAGGGCACGTGAGGGTGGAGTAAGGTTTAAGAAGACTGCAAAAGCTGAGGGGTGAGGGCTAGTTTATGAAAGGATTTGAACATCAAACAAGGATTTTATAGTATGTCTTGGAGGTGATGGGGAGCTACTGGAGTTTATTGAATGGGAGTGGAGTGGGGTGACTTAGATCTTCACTTTAGGAAGATCACTTTAATGACTGGAGTGGGGAGAAATCTGAAGCAGGGAGACCAACCATAAGGCTATTGAAATGGGCAATGAGGCCCGGCAGCAGGGTGATAGCAATGCCAGAGGAGAGAAGGGGATTTATTTGAGACACGGTAGGAACAGCAAGACTTGGCAACAGATCGAATGTGGGGGTGAGAGATAGTAAGGAATCAAAGATGACACCCAAATTTCAAGACTAGGTTTCATCGAAGCATGATTTCTGTCTTATTTCAACATGGTTTAATGGTGATGATAAGAATCAATCAGTCCATCAATAAATATTTGTTAAGTGCTTACTTTATGCCAGGCACTGTACTAGTGCTGTTGGAACAAAGATCTTAATTTTATATTCTAAAATGAGTGTACATGTAACATGGCTGGTTGTTTTGTTTCTATGATCTCTAGGTTCTATTTGAAATTTTATGAAATTACACCTAGATGAATAGAGGTAAAGAAGTAGGACTTAAGATTTCTAGCCAAGGAAGTCAATATCTTTTTTCCTTTATTTTATTTATTTTTTTATTTTTATATCACTTTTATTTTTCCTCTACTTCCTAGCTAGCCATATCTTCTAACAAAGAATAAAAAAGGCAGTTTTTGACAAAACTAACTGATACATCAGCTGAGTTTAGCAGCACCCTTACCTTGCAAAAAATGCAGAAGGGAGCATTTCCTCATTTCTTCTTCAGGGACAAACTTAGTTATCATATTTACATGGTGTTCGGATTTAAGCTTTTTGTGTTTTCAAATGGATCAATTTTTCAAATAGTGCAGAATCCACACTTCCAAATTGTGATGCTGGAGAAGAATTTTGAGAATCCTTTGGACAACAAAGAGGTCAAATCAGTCAATAATTAAGGAAATTAATCAAGCTATTCACTGGAAGGTCAAATACTGAAACTGAAACTTAAATACTTTGGCCACATAATGAAAAGGACTCACTGAAAAAGACCCTACTGTTGGGAAAGACTGAAAGCAAAAGGAGAAGGGGATGGCAAAGGATGAAATGGAGAGATAGTGTCATGGAAGCAATGAACATGAGCTTGGATGGACTTTGAGAGATAGTGGAGGATAGAAGGACCTGGTGTGCTATGGCCATGGGGTCATGAAATGTCAGACATGACTGAATGGCTGAACAACAACAACTTTTCTAATAGGGAGCTAGGCAGCACAGCAGATAGAGTTCTCAGCCAGGAGTCAAGAAAATCTGAGTTCAAATCCTACACTAGGTTAAATGACTTAACCTCTGTTTGCCCAGTTTCCTCAATTGTAAAATGGGGGATAATAATAGTACCTACCTCCCAGAGTTGTTGTGAGGATTAAAGGAAATAGTATTTGTAAAAAATGCTTAGCACAGTGCCTGGCATATAGCAGGCACTATATAAATGCTTATTCCCCTTCCCTTTCTCTCCAGCTTGCTCCTCCCCTTTAGATGCACATACCTGACTATAGGAAATTTGAGAGGGACACAGCTTGACCTGTTGAGCCCACTAGCATCTGCCCCATCACCTCTCTGCCCAACAGATGAATGACCTCATCATAAATGGATCAAGGTCTCAGCAAGACTGGTGGAGAGTCCCCTAGTAGAGCTCTGTGCTTACATGTGGTCAGAAATGGGGGTAGAGTATTAAATTAAATCAAGTACAAAGGGACCCACAATTATTCCTTGCTTCAGTGATTTATTCTTTTGACAATACAGGTTTTCCCTCCACTGATGCAGTCTGCAATGAAGTTACAGCATCTCCATAACTTAGAAGGTGGTGTCCAGTGAAAATTGTCACCCACTGACCAGTCTGGCAATGAGCCTCCCCAGACTGAGTTAGGCTGGACTTGACCAAGCCTGTGTGCATTGAAACAGCTTTTTTGAAGGCAGACTCAAGTTCATGCCCCAGTGGTGCCTTAGAAGAGGACCTTTGTATGGCAGATGTCAATAAATGATATAAACACAGTAAATGATAAACTCAGTAACAGTCACCTTGGAGAGATACTTTTTAAAAAGTTGAATATCCATACATAGAAAGAAAAATACATATATTTGAATTGAACCTGTGGTTTTATTAGTATGGGAACTTCCTTCCACTTTATACAAATCAGCAAATTCTCTGTAACTTAAACTCTTAGAGAATTTCCAGGCAGCACTAACAGGCTGTCATTTGCCTGTGGTCACACAGACAGTATGTGTCAGCAGAGGCAGGACTCAAACCCTGATCTTCTTTCTGAGGTTCACCACCTGCCTTTTCGGCAGAGCTACAACTAAGGCAGGATGACCTGGACTTTGCCTCAGGGCACCAAATTTAAAGGAAGCTGATAGTCATTTGTACTCTATTACACAGAAACAACAGATTTTAGCACCTACCTAACAAGAAAAATTAGTTCAAATAAGAAGCTACCATAGGTAAGGCTGGGGGTCAAATACCTCCACAAAACTATTCTTCTGGTGGGGCAGCTGGGTGGCGCACTCACCCTGGAGTCAAGAGGACCTGAGTTCAAATCCGGCCTCAGACACATAACATTTACTAGCTGTGTGACCCTGGGCAAGTCACTTAGTCCCATTGCCTAGCCAAAAAAACAAAAAATTACTCTTCTGCCCCTTCACCCCACCCCCTTCTGACTGTTTTTCAGTAGCAGGATGTCCTCAGATCTCTGCTTTGGGGCAGTATTCTCCCACCTCAATTGAAGGCACCATTCATCCTGTTTAACCGGTTGCGAAAATTCCTACTTATGGCTTTGCTCTCTGGAAGGCTGCATTTGGAGCCAGAAAGACCTGAGTTTGAAACCAGACTCTGACACTTACTGTGTGAATGTGTGCAAGGGGCTTAACTTTTCTGAATAAAATCAGTATCAGATCTTAAATGCTAATCATTGCAGATTCATCCTAGAGAACCTTATGCATCTTAAACTAGACTCTAAAATAAATGGGTTTTTTTTTCCCTTTTGGGTGGCAGCAGCTGGAATAGGGAGCAGGATCCTGGCAGGGTGCACCACGGAGGCTTGGCAGTCATAGTGGCACAGCCTACAGATGTAGTAAAAGTCAGACTTCAAGCACAGAGCAGCCTGTCTGGTGCCAAACCCCGATATACTGGGACTTTCCATGCCTACAAAACAATAGCATCAGAAGAAGGAACAAGGGGGCTTTGGAAAGGTAACCAATTTTAGTGTTGAATAGTAAACATCATAGTATAATTTAAACACAAAATCAGCCATTGCGTCCTATACCAAATTCATTCAGTTATTTATGTTCTTTCCAGGGACAGCACCCAATGTGACAAGAAATGCTATTGTCAATTCTGCAGAGCTAGTAACCTATGATTTAATAAAGGAGAACCTTTTGAAATATAACCTACTGACAGGTAACTTGCTATTTGAAATAATGAAAACAATCCTATATATTTTCTCTTCTCATGGGGTTTCTCCCTATCAGTGTAAATTCTGAATTCTTGGAGTAAGCTCCATAATGGCAGGAGCTTCCTTTGTTATCTTTGTAGACCCAGTGCCTAACACATAGTCAGCACTTAATAAATCATTATTTAATCAAACTGACTATTCTCACAGTTCTATCAAGGTGTTTACACTTTTCCAGTAACTTTGAAAGACATAAGTGTTCAGGATTGTGGGTGTCTCTCGGAGTCATACAAATCACAATTCATCCAAACCTCAGTAGATAATCGATGTGCATTGCTGTGGCCAAAAACAAATGAATGAATGAAATATATTTAAATCACCTGGTGGCTAATTTTTAGTGATAATTCTCTCTAAACTTCATGAGGCTGATGTTCAAGTTACAGATATTGCTGGGCAGACACTTTGAAGCCTTTCCATCTTGGTAGGGAGGACATGCCAGAGTTTAGGCTCCATTGGTGTAACCCCTGAGAACTTGGTTCATTTCCACGACACGAAGAATGAATACTGTAGTAGGACTTTAGTGGAGGATGTATGTGCACGAAGGCTTCTGCGCAAGCACACACACACACACACACACACACACACACACACACACACACACAATCCATGTACAGATTTGTTTAGAATGTTAAGTCATTTTTTTAAAAGGCAGAAAGTGTTCCAGGTCCTGGTATTGAGGGTGTCAGAACTGCAAATCTGCCACTTCATTGTAAACATTGAAATTTCAGTTGATTCCTTTTTAGGCCCATGTTATTTTAATTCAGTAAAAATACAAACTTCTTAAGTAGAAGGTAAACTCTTGAAGTCAGGAACTATTTTTGTTTCTATCTTTGTGTCCCTACCATATACTATGTGCTTCAAATATTTATTGAATGAATTTGTTGAATCCTGCAACAGACTGCCATAACATTATTTTCTACATAGTAAATTTTTAAAAAAATATTTTATATTTTATTTTTTCCAATTACTTGTAAAAACAATTTTTATCATTCAGTTTTTAAAATTGAGTCCCAAATTCTCCCCTCCCCCTCCTTGAGAATTGCTAAATTTTATAGAAGACAATATATGCGTAGTCGTGCAAAACATATTTCCATATATATATATAGCAAAATTAATTAGTGTCAAATTGGACTCCACTCAAGAATCTTATTATAACTTACTAGCTGTATGACCCTGGGCAAGTCACTTAACCCCAATTGCCTAGCCAAAAGATTAAAAAAAAATCTTGTTATAAGGTAGTTTCATTTCAAAGGCAGTCATGTAGTATAGAACCCTAAGAATACCATTATACCAGGCTCTATAATGGTTCCTAGGTTTATAGATTCTTCTTAGAACATAAGCAACTTGGGGCCAGAGTCTGTCTTCTATTGCTCTAATTCTAGCAATGCATGATTAATAAGCAATACTGACTCTATTGTTTGCCAACTTGGGGAGAAGAGTGGGGAGGGAGGGAGGGAGGCAAAAAAATTTGAAACTCAAAATCTGATAAAAAATGAATGTTGAAAACTATCTTTACATGTAATTGGAAAAAAATAAAATACTATTTACAAAAAAAAATCTGACTCTATAAATGACTCCTTGAAAATAATTTAGGCCCATCTCAGTAGATCTAGATAAATAACACATTACAGAATATAGCTGTGTGGGACAGCGACCCCAACCCAAATTAAACTCAGAGACTTCTCAAGGGTGGAAAGCAAAGGTTACCTTTATTACAATCTCACGAGATGGCTGTCTGCTCCTCCGATACATGTGGAGAGAGAGAGACCGCCTAACAGGGGCCGCCTTATAAAAACAAATCTCTGCCCACCACGCAAACAAGTCTCCACTATCCTTACCCCCTTAACTGGGATGTGGGGCTTACGTTCTAAGCTCGAAAGTTTCTTCCTACCCCTTAACTGGGAGGTGAGGCTTACATTCCAGGCATGAAATTCAAAGATGGAAAGAGGCCAGAAGCCAAGGGCAAACGGCTCAGGTTGGGGGTGGGGCAGGGCTTATTCTTTCTGTTAAGTGCTTAAAAACAGGGTCTGAGTCGGGGAGGATTTTGAAAGTAATAATCAAAAATTATTTGACCTTTGAGGAACCTTCACTTCTAAGAGTTCATTTCTCACACTACCTTCTGAACTCATTACCTTAATTACACGGAGAAGTCTTCAACTGGGACGTCCCATTCATAGCCTACTTTTATCCCAAAGGCAGTGCAATAAAATCTGAATGTGCAATAAGTATATTTGTGCTTCTGCTATGATCACGGAGTGTGCCTGCATCCCACATAGTAACTAAAAAATCAGCAACTAAAAGTGTGCTTGTTAATCTTAAGCTTGCCCTCTTCCCTTGATCCATTGTAGATAATTTACCTTGCCACTTCGTGTCAGCCTTCGGTGCTGGATTTTGCACGACAGTGGTAGCATCTCTTGTCGATGTAGTAAAGACCAGATACATGAACTCACCACCAGGACAATACACCAGCGCTCCCAAATGTGCGTGGACAATGCTCATGCGGGAAGGACTGACTGCTTTTTACAAAGGGTAGGACCTTCCACATAAAACTCCATTTTGTTCTAGGCATCGATGTTAGTGAGACATATTGATGTTTACTGTTTCGAGTCAGACTGCCTCATAATCAATCGGCTACATCAGTTGTAATTCACTGCCTCCATCTCAGTCTTCCTGTTGGATATATTTGGAAGCATCTTATTTTTTCTGACTTGATTCATTCGTGGGTTTCACCAGTTGATTCAAAGTCTATAGGCACTTCCAGAAATTGAGCCAGCATTTCCTTTATTGATGCCAAATATCCCACCACCTAGCAGAGAAAGAGGGCAGCTTCAGGTTAACCTACATAGAGGTTTTAAGCAAGGGAAGCATTAAATCCACTCTTAACCATTCTGCTTTTTTATTTAGCTTCCAAACTGATTTACAAAATAAAAAAAAAGGAGGAACTGTATGAATTTCACATAAACTATCTAAACAGATCCTTTGCAAATATTTTTGTTTTGTTTCTGCTTCTGGGTTGCATTTGCTTCATGCATAATGTAGAAAATGCTGGCCTCATGGCAACCGATTTACTGACTAGTATTTCTGCTACTTATAATGGGATCTTGAGTAAATCACCTTCCCTTTTAGGTAATATGGGATTCCTTCCAGCTCTAAATCCAAAGCTCCTAATAAATGTTTAGCCTCTGCCAGAAGTGTCTGATGGTACAGTGTGGATGGCACAGAGAGCTGGGCCTAGAATCCAGAAGACCTCAGTTCAAATCCAGCCTCAGAGCCACTTAGAAGTTATGTGACCCTAGGCAAGTCACTTAACCTCTGTTTGTCCCAACTGTAAAGTGAAGATGATAATAGCATAGATCTCACAAAGTTGTTGTGAAGATCAAGTGAGATGATATTTATAAAAAGGAGTTAGTATGGTATCTCACACATAGTAGGTGCTTTATAAAATCTTCTTCCCTTTACCTAGCTAAGATTAATTGTTCTTACTTTTTTAGATACAGGGGAGCTTTTGCATGCACTAAATCTTCACCACACATACAAAAAAAGAAAGAAAGAAAGAAAGAAAGAAAGAAAGAAAGAAAGAAAGAAAGAAAGAAAGAAAGAAGGAAAGAAAGAAAAGAAAAGAAAGGAAAAGAAAAGAAAGGAAAAGAAAAGAAAAGAAAAGAAAGGAAAAGAAAAGAAAAGAAAAGAAAAGAAAAGAAAAGAAAAGAAAAGAAAAGAAAAGAAAAGAAAAGAAAAGAAAAGAAAAGAAAAACAACCTAGAAAAGAAAGCTGTCTAGGGAATGCCATCCTTTTTCCCCTCAGTAAAATTCCCCATAGCAAGCAAAAGCATTTGAAAGCATTCCATTTGCTTTTTTTTTTAGAATATAAATTCAACCGTGAAACACAAACAAGAAAAAATTTAATATATTTGAGTCATTTTTCAGGTATGTCTGACTCCTCATGACCCCATTTGGGGTTTTCTTGGCAAAGATACTGGAGTGATTTGTCATTTCCTTCTCCAGATCATTTTACAGACAAGGAAATTGAGGCAGAGTTAAGGGACTTGCCCAGGGTCACACAGCTGGTAAGTGTCTGAGACCAAATTTGAACTCACAAAAATGAGTCTTCCTCACTCCAAGCCCAGTGCACTAATCACTGCACCACATGGCCCCCCTATCGAACACAGAACCAGAAATATCTAACACTTGCATTTTTTAAAGTTTTTATTAATTTTAGTTAAGATCATAACTAAACTGTTCTGCTTGTTTCTATGTTCCCTTCTGAAATTTCTTCTTGCAATTTTTCTTAATTTTGCTGCTGCTATTAATAGTTTACAGAATTGTAGTATATATTTTGTTGTTTTGTTTCTTCTTTAGCTTTTCTTGGCAGAATTCTTGACACCTTGGTCACACAAATCTTTTAGCAGGAATGAAGAGGAAAGGACTCTTTTAGGATCAAAGCATTCATGAGAAAGCCTATTGTTCTTGTAACTCATAGCTCAGAACCCCAAGTTCTGAGTTAACATGGACCATGGTCTCACTTGGGACTTTCTTATGAATCATTGTTTAATTTGTGCCCTTACCCAGGGTTTCTTTATGGTTTTTCTCTACCAAGGGAACATTAGCATTGGCTTCATTTCTCAAACCCTGCAGAAAAGATGAGAGTTCTCAGCCCTCAATACCAGTATCATGCACTTTTCTTGTTCAACTGTTTCAGTCATGTCCAACTCTTTGTGACCCCATTTGGGGTTTTCTTGGCAGAGATACTGGAGTGGTTTGTCATTTCCTTCTCCAGTTAAATTTACAGATGAGGAAACTGAGGCAAACAAGGGTCACACAGCTAGAGAGACTTGAGGCAGGAAGACCCATAGTGTCATAGTGAGGGGATAAGGGCCTATACCAGGTTAGTGGCAATGGACAGAAGTGGTGTATGTAGGCATGCATATATGTATATACATGTATATGCACACATGTTATGTGCCCACATGTGTGTATGTGTGTGTGTGTGTGTGTATACATATACCTATGTATACATGAAATGTGAAGGTAGAAATGACAAGACTTGGCAGTTGCCTGGATATAATAAATCCTCACATTTATATAATGCTTTAAATTTTGCAAAGCACTTCACAAATATTTAATTTAATCCTTAAAAAAAAAACTTGGAGGTAGATACTATTATTAACCCTTACAGATGAGGAAATGGAGGCAAAGCAGAGTTAAGTGATGTGCCCAGGATCACAGATCTATTAAGTGTATAAGGCCATATTTGAATTTAGGTCTTCCTGACTCCAGGTCCATCTGCTACATTATCTAAAGGCCTTGGAAGAATTGAGAATGAGGAGTCCAGGGTGACACTGAGATTACAAACCTGGGTAACTGGGAGAATGATGTTGCCTTTCATAATGGGGAAGTTGGGAAAAGGCTTAAGGGAAATGATAATGAGCTCTTTTTCAGACACATCAAGTGCTCTATGTATAGGACATGCAATTTTAGATGCTCAGTAGGCAGTTGGAGATGTGAATCAGGGGGTCAAGAGAGAGGTTAGGCATGGATGAATAGATCTGAGAATCATCTACGTGGAGATAATGTAATCCATGGGAATTTAGGAGATCACCAAGACAAACATTATAGAGGGAGAAGAGAAGAGAACCAGGACAGAGCATTAGGGGTCATCCATAGTTGGTGGGCTTAACTTAGATAAAGCAATGGTTCATGAGGTAGAAGGACAGCCAGATAGAACAGGGGAGAAGAGGGATCTCTGTGAATGGGCTCAATTTTCTTCAATGAAATATGAAGCAATGTTCTCAGTTGAGAGACTGGAGGGAGGGGTGCCATGGAGAATTAGGAGAGGGATGAAAAAGTCTGGAAAAACCATTGCAATGAGTGAAATAGTGAATTGATTAAGGCAAGGGTGGGGAACCTGCAGTCTTGAGGCCCCATGTGGCCCTCTAGGTCCTCAAGTGCAGCCCTTTGACTGAATCCAAGCTTCACAGAACAAATCTCCTTAATAAAAGGATTTGTTCTGTAAAACTTGGACTCAGTCAAAAGGTCGCACCCAAGGACCTAGAGGGCCACATGTGGCCTCAAAGTCACAAGTTCCCCACCCCTGCAGTAGAGAGATCTAAAAGCATTGTCTTGCTGCAGTGAGGATCAATGTGAATTTATAATGGAACCAAATCAACATAATTATGAGATCTTCTCCAGTTCTGTTCAGCAGTACATGATTGGGAGTGAAGGCAGTGGATAGTAATGAAAGTGGGAGTAATCCAAGCTTGGGCTATGGCAAAGCATGATAGGAGATCATGATGATAGGGTAAGAAGGCAAAGAACTCTAGCACAGAGGATAGTGTAGAACTTAACTGGCTCATAAAGAGTTCTAGGTAGGGAAGGAAGGGATCGTCTGGGGGGGGAAATGAAGGATGGAAGAATTGGAGGTCATTATGAGGACAAAGAACAGGTTTCAGAGTCATAAAGAAAAGGAAGAGATGAAATAAAGGATTATAAGATAAAGGAATTTCACAGTTCATGAACATGAAACACTTGTGGCTGATGGCATGATCAAGGCTACAAGTAAACTGAGGTCATGGGAATGAGGAAATTGAGGATCTTAAAAGTTAGGGTGTGGAAGGAATGTCAACAACATGCATTTTGACACATACAAAAGTACAGCCTTAATTTGGCTGCAGGAAAGGGCAAGAGCCAGTCACATTCTCTGCCTCGGTGAGGGAATGAAGGACTCTTTATGGACTTTAAAAAAAAATTAGCAGAATCTAGAAAAGCCATCTGTTTTGTTCACAACCTCTTCCTATCTCTTTGTTTATTCTTTAGTATCAGCACTTTCTGTAGTGTGACAGAACCTGATAAAAGGCTCCCAAAGGGGTTCAGGTGTTGCTGCCTACTCTTCTGTCTAACTTTCCTAAGACACCATCATCTTTCCAGTCATCCAGCTAAATGGTTAGAGTGCCAGGTCTGGAGTGAAGAAGAGTCATCTTCCTGAATTCAAATCTGGCCTCAGACACTTACTAGCTATGTGACCCTGGGCAAGTCACTTAAACCTGTTTGCCTCAGTTTCCTTATCTGTAAAATGAGCTGGAGAAGAAAACCACTCCAGTGTATGATGAGGAAACACCAAATAGTCACAGAGTCAGACATGACTGGAAAATGACTCAATAAAAACAGTTCCACAAACTTGGGAGTCATCTTTGACCCCTCACTGTCCTTCATCCCACGTATACAGTCAGTTGGCCAAATATTGTCGATTCTCTTTTCACCTTTCTCTCACCCATCCCTTCTCTTCACGTGTATATTTTGTATGTATGTAATTGTTGGCACGTTTCCTCTCCCATTATAATAATGTGAGTTCCTTGAGGGTAGGGACCTTGTTTTTGTCCCCTTTTTTTGTCACCCCAAACTTAGCACATTTCCTGGCACATAATGAGCACTTAATAAAGGCTTGTTGATATATAAAAGGGCCACTCAGGCCCTTATTCATTACTCCACTGACTGGACTTTTTTTTTTAACCCAATTACTGTCTCTGCCTCATCTCTCTCCTCTCTAGTCCATCCCTCACACTATAGTCAAATTGATGTTCATGAAGCATAAGTTGGACCAGGTCACCACTATGTTCAATAAACTCCACTGGCTCCCTATTTTCTCTACAAAATTTTATGTTTAAAGCCTTTACAACTTGGCTCCAAACTACCTTTCTCTCCTTATTCTGCATTAGTTCCTCTCTCCCTCCACATACACACACTTTGGTCTAATTAAATTGGTTGTCTTGTTATTTCTCACATATGATATTCTATGCCCCATCTCCACACCTTTGCCAAACTGCCCCTCATTCATGGAATGCACTTACTCCGCACCTCCACCTCTTCAGAAACCCTAGTCATTTTAAAAAATCAGTTCAAGTAAGGGCAGCTAGGTGGTGCAGTGGATAGAGCACTGGCCCTGGAGTCAGTAAAAACTGAGTTCAAATCCGGCCTCAGACCAAACATTTGACACTTACTAGCTGTGTGACCTGGGCTAGTCACTTAACCCCAATTGCCTTTAAAAAAAAAATCAATCCAAATGACAATTTCTAATTAGACATTTCTTATACCCACTACTTGTTAGTGCATACTCTCCTAAATTACTTTGTTTATCTTGTATGTATTTTCTATATATTTATGTCCATGTTGCCTGAGAGAATGTGAGCATCTTGAGGACAGGAACTATTTGTGTTTCTGTCTTTATATTCCCAAAACCTAACACAGTGCTTGGCATATAGTAGGTGCTTAATAAATGCTTATTGTGTGAGAGAATGGCTGGTGTGAGAACTTCTTCCACAAATGCAAAACACTGATGCTTCTAGACTTACTACCTAAGTCTTAGAGAGTTGTCATAAGCATTTAAAGCTTAAGTGCCTTGGCCAGGGTCACAAGGCTAATGTCAGGGGCAGGATCTGAAGTTTCAGGCTCTAAGTGTATTGCTCCATAAACCATTTATATATCATGTGTGTGTGTGTGTGTGTGTGTATATATATGTATATATATACACACACACACACACACACACACACACACACACACACACATATGTATTTGCTGCTTGTCCATGCAAAGGCATTTATGTGAAATGAAGTATGGGACAATCTACTGCCATTGCTGAATGGCAGTGAGCCATTGGAATACCACACTCTCCCAAGAAATAAAGTGAATGTCATACAGAAGGCAATGGGGGTGGGCACAGAGTAGGTGGGAGCAAGCTGAAATACGTAGTCAATGAAGAACTTCAGAAATAAAAGATAGCATCAAGGAAATGAATGCTAAGAAGAGAAGGTGGGCTGAATAGCTAGTGTCCCACTGGCAACCAAGAGAATGTGAGGAAGATCCTGTGAGCTTCAGGGAAGATGTGAACAAGTCATGCAAAGTGGTCAGGCATAGATAAGTTGGGATCTGAATTGTTGAAGACAGTTTCTGAGTTGGTGAGATCACAGACCCTTCTGGGTATTTGAGAGTATCTCAAAATACAAAATAGCATGAGTATCTGTACATAGCCTGAACCCAGGTGCTGAAATGCAAAGCAGTGATCATTGAAGGCTGCCTGTATTACCTTAACTTGTAAATTTGTAAATTTAACTTGTAAAGTTGTGAATGAAACGACATGTGATGATATATATTCTTCTAGGTTTGTGCCTTCCTTCTTAAGACTGGGATCCTGGAATGTCGTTATGTTCATATCCTATGAACAGCTGAAAAGGGCAATGATGAGGTCCAGAATCATCTTTATAAAAGATATTGCAGGAAGATACTGGTGGGACTATTTAATAACTATATTGACCAAAAGAGTTATTCATTTCTTGCCATAAAAATTATCAAAGTGTATTTATTTAGAAGGCAGCTAAGTGGTTCTGTGGATAGACCACTGGGCTCAGAGTCAAGAAGGCCTGGGTTCAAATGCGGCCTCAGACACTAACTGTGGGCAAGTCACTTAACCTCTGTTTGTCTTAATCCACTGAAGAAGGAAATGGCAAACCACTCCAGTTATCTTTGCCAAGAAAGCCCCATGGACAGTACGGTCCATGAAATCATGAAGAGCTGGACACGAGTAAACAAATGAACACTAACATTTATTTGGTATTTAGTGGGCTTTGGTCACTAAACTACAATGCAGAGTGAGAAGTGTTCCTTACAGATTATGTGAGGAAGTAGCTCCATTCAGGAGGGTAGAGGCAGCTAGGTGGCGCCATAGAGCACAGAGCGCTGGGCCTGAAGTTAGGAAGACTCATCTTCCGAGTTTAAATCTAGCTTCAGACACTTACTAGCTGTGTGACCCTGGGCAAGTCTCTTACCCCTGTCTGCCCCAGTTTCTTCATCTCTAAAATGAGCTAGAGAAGGCAATGGCAAACCACTCCAGTATCTGTGCCAAGAAAACCCCAAATGGGATCACAAAGGGTCAGACACACCTGAAATGACTGAACCACAAAGCCCCATCTCATCCTGGAGACTAGATCAGAGATCCAGAGCTAGAAGGGATTTTAGTGGCTACCTACTCCAAAACCTTCATTTTTTTAGTTTTAAATAATTCCCCCACCCCAATTACATGTAAAAACAATTCTTAACATTCATTGGGTATTTTTTTAATTTTAACTCCAAATTTTATCACTCCCTCCCTGCTCTCCTCCCTCCCTGAGATGTAAGTTATACATCTGCAATCATGTGAACATTTACATATTAGTCATTTTGTGCAAGAACAGAGAAAGAAGGGAAGGAAGGAAGGAAGGAAGGAAGGAAGGAAGGAAGGAAGGAAGGAAGGAAGGAAGGAAGGAAGGAAGGAAGGAAGGAAGGAAGGAAGGAAGGAAGGAAGGAAGGAAGGAAGGAAAAATAGTATACTTTGGTCTGTATTCAGATGACATCAGTTCTTTCTCTGAAGGCAGATGGCATTTTTCATCATGAGTGCTTTGGGATTATCTTGGATTACTGCATTGCTAAGATAAGCTAAGTCATTCACAGTTTTTCTTCATACGATATTGCTGTTACTGTGTACAAACCTGGTTCTTCTCACTTCAGTCAGCATGAGTTCATATAAGTCTTTCCAGGTTTTTCTAAAGGCTGCCTGGGGAGCATCTACGTGGCACAGCGGATAGAGCACTAGCCCTGAAGTCAAGAGGACCTGAGTTCAAATCTGGCCTCAGACCAAACAGTTGACACTTATTACCTGTGTGACCCTGGGCAAGTCACTTAACCCCAATTGCCTAATAAAATAAAGTCTGCCTGGTCATCATTTCTTAAAGCATAATAGTATTCCATGACAATCATATATCACAACTTTTTCAGTCATTCCCCAATTGATGAGCATCCCCTCCATTTCCAATTCTTAGCCACTACAAAAAGAGCTGCTAGAAATATTTTTGTATAAATAAGTTCTTTTCCCTTTAAAAAAAAATCTCTAGGATACAGACCTATAGCCAACACCTTCATTTTAAATATAGGGAAATTGAAACCTAGGGAGGCTAAGTGATTTATCTAGGCCACACAGGTAGCTGAGCCACAATTTAAACTCAAGTCCTCTGACTTGAAATCCAGCGCTCTTTCCACTGTACCACAAAGCCTTTTCCCCAATAGATGAAGAAACTGAAGCCCAGAGGAATTCAATGACTTGCCCAAAGTTACCCAACTAGTTTGTGGCAAAGCCAAGGATTAGGATTCTTTCTCATTTCAAGGTTACATTAAAAAAAAGAAAAAGAAAAGAAAAAAAAGAAGTATTTTTAAATATTTATTAACTACATTTTTAAAAAAAAACAAACCTTATTAGCATGACGCTTATGTTTTGTTTTTTGGCTAGGCAATGGGGTTAAATGACTTGCCCAGGGTCACACAGCTAGTAAATGTTGTGTCTGAGGCCACATTTGATCTCAGGTCCTGCTGCATCCAGGGCCGGTGCTCTCTCCACTGTGCCACCTAGCTGCCCCAGCATGAAGCTTATGTTTTAGTTTTAGAATCAAGAAAGCAAAGACCATGACTCACCCTGATAAATACAACTGTTCAGATGACAATACTTTTGTCATGTATTGACAGTGCTATTGTATATCAGTTTATCTGTACTCTTATGGAATTTTATGTTTGAATATGCACTTTACAAGGCAAATTTTAATTTACAATACAAACTGTTGAAAAATATAAACTGAGAAAAATACTATTTGTAAATATAGGCAGTTCTTGCTTTATGAAAATGCACATTACACAAATTCGACTTTATGTGAAGAATAATGAAAAAAAAGAATAGTTGAAGATAATATTGTTTGCTATCATGAGATATATGAGGGACAAAAAAAAAAAAGATCCGCTGTCCAACTATCTCTTGATAGCTACATGAAAAACATTGCACAGCCAACCCCTAGTAATAAAGGCTAGGTGCAATGGGTGCAGAAGGGACAACATACCGCATGCCTATGTTAACTTTACTGTACAGTGCTGTGCATACTCTACCTTTCATTTCATAACTCTGCTTATTATCATGGTACAGTATTTAATAGTCTGCATTTTAGTACATTTTGTAAGTCATATAGAGCTATTATTTTGTGTATGCCTTTGTTATATAGGCTAAGTGAAATGTGTGGGTAGGGACAAGTTTGCATTACAGAAAAACTGCTTTATGCAGAGGTCTGTGGAACAGTTCACTTACATAAAGGAGGGGCAGAGCCAAGATGGTGGAGTGAAAGCAGTGACTTGCTTGAGCTCTCCCCTAAACCTCTCCAAATACCTATAAAAAATGGCTCTAAAAAAATTCTAAAGCAGCAGAACCCACAAAAAGACAGAATGAAACAAATTTCCAGCCAAAGACAGCCTGGATGGTTGATCAGAAAAGTATATCGTGCCAAGCTGGAAGAGGAGTGCGGTGCGGTGTGGGCACACAGGCCGCAGCAAACCTGGAGCAGGCCTCAGAGGACTGAATCGCGGGCAGCTGTGGTGGTTTCCAGACCTTTCAACCCACAAACACCAAAGACAACTTAGAAGGTCAGTGGGAAAAGTATGTTTCTGCGGTGAAAGAGAAGCTAGGTCTTAGCCCCAGTTACCAAGCACTGCCCAAGGCAGCGACTGCCTCCTGAGCTTCTGGCCCACGGACTGAGGGGCAATCAGGTGGCTGATCAGAGGGGGACTGCAGGGACCTCTTTGCCAGTGCTGAGGCAGGAATGTCTTGCTTTGCCCATGCTGGGATCTGGGTCATAGTTCTGGGTGGTGGTCTTGGGGCGAGGAGGAGCGCTGGCATGGTAGAGCTTATAGTGGCAGTGCAGAGAAAATCTTCCTCACAGTTCCAAGACAGAAAAGAGTGCTTGTGGTCCATCATAGACCAGAGCACAGGCCAGGAAAGGAGTAAATACCTCGCCCCGTATCATACCACCTTGGAGGAACTGAGAATTTATAGGTCCCTGGAAGTATCTCGGAAAACAGCTGTACAAACTCCCGAAGCTTGGGACAGTCCATTCTCCACATTGGAAGCAGACCTCTACCTTAATAAAGAGTTTATAACTCAATTAATTGGCATGAGCAAACCTCTTAAGAAGTGTCAGACCATAGAATCTTTTTTTTTGGTAACAAAGACCATGACTATAATTAAGAGCAAAAGATAGAAAAAAAAATTTTTGGTAATTGTCAATTTTCTTAATTTATTAACCTCATCTGTCAAGTCAAAGCAATCAGCTTTGCTTGATGCCTTTTTTATGTGTCAAGAATGCATAACAAAGCTAATGGTATCTCAGTGCTGTTCTTGCTGTATTCAGATGACATCAGTTCTTTCTTAATCTTAACCTGAGGGACAGTTCACTTACACAATATAATATTTTTCAACACTAGCTAAAGTTCCTTGGAACTCGATAGGTAGTTACTTTGGGCAAGTTTTCCTCACTAAAATCTAGAATTTTTCTTGTACTTAGGGTAATTTTTTCCCCCATTTTTAAAAATAGTCATTTTGTGAAGGTTTTCAGACCAATTTCTCTCACAGAGAGCTATCTCACAGGATCTCTCTAGCTTATTTTATCAGCATCATTAATAATGGTAGTTGTCATTTACATACCACTTTATATTCTCTTTTGATCCTCACAATCACTGTCTGAACTACATATTATAGCTATTAACCCAAATTAACAAATCGGGAAGGGCAGACCCAAAAACATTAAGTTGCCTATGGCCACACAACTACCATCAGCATTTGAACCTGGTCTTATCCTGAATCTAAGTACAGGATTCTTCAGACTATATGCATTTTAGTGGAGGATTTTTAAGCCACTGTTTTCATGCCATAGAAGACTTGGAAAGGACCTTACGGATATTATAATCCAAGGATTCTTAACCTTTTCGTATGTGTCATGGACACCTCTGACACTCTGGGGAAACCTAGATTTTTACGTTTGGGTTTTTTTTTAGATACATTAAAATAAATTACACAAGATTACAAAAGAAACCAATTATATTGAAATACATTTGCTAAATTTTTTTAACCAAGTTCACTGACTCCAAGAGTGCCTTATCTCATCCAGCTCACTTATTTTTTAATATATATTTTCCATTAAGAACCCTTTCCTCTAGCTGCTTTTCCAGTAGCTTTCTATTTTAACTTAAATATTCTTGCTAAGTAGATCAACTATTTCTACCTGCTGAATAAATACAAGTGCCATCTACTCCCTCTAAATTTCAAGGTCCTAGGGCAAAGTCCTAGTCTCTTCATCCTAGTTACAGCTCTGAAAATGAGGTTCACTGAACATCAGGGGCTTGCCTATAGTGAAATTAACTAATTGACATAAAATTAGTGGTGGAATACAGGTTTTGATAGTCATTTCAGGGTTACAATACATTATATTATTAATTGGATTTTCTGACTGAATACCTTCAGG